GGAGAAAGGAGTAGGAGGATGACTACCTGTGGTGCAGGCAGCTGACAGTGGCTTTTCATGGGACGTTGATGATAATATAACTGTTACTGAGTTGTTACAAGTAAACAGGATCACATAGGTGGAAGTGTAACATGGGAATCCCTAATAGATGGTCCATATCTATCCGATCACTGACATTACATTTGTCCAGATACATGTTTAAAAAGAAAATGTGAATGCCCTTAGGTGAAGCCTGTCCTCTCCGGTGTGGCCACAGTCTCCACCATGCCCTGTTGTCTTATACTTAGTTACTTCACTCATTTTGCTACCTGACTGGTTTTTCAATGCATTTAAGTTTGCCAACCCTGCAGTAGAACATTGTAATATCCATGTTTAGATAGTTTATTCTTACCTTGTGCAATTCGAGCATGGACATCTTCATTAAAAATATTTTTTTTTATTTTCTCAGTGTATTTAACCATGAGTTGGGGAGCTTTGGCTCTAGATATTCTAGTCCTCCCGCTTTGGCCCCACTTTTCTGAGATCCACCATGAGAGGTACAGGCGGCCATAGGACAGTAACCTGGCCCCTGGTGGTTTCTGTGTACCCAGAGCTGCCTTGGAAGGTTGGATTTCTCTCTAGGCACTAGAGCGTATGGTTGGACAATGTCTCCTTTGCAACATGGAGACTCTCATCAGTTAATTAAAAACAAGCAAACAAACCAAAAACCAAAAGTACTCCCTTGTAGTGATTGCCTATAATGTATTCACAGGGCCTGCAGTGGTCTGTGTTTCTCCTTGACAAATGTCTCTCTGCTCATTTGAAAGCTGCCGACAGTCTACATCGGTCCATAAGCAGTACCAATTTCTTTTCTTCCTCTTTTCCTTTCTTTCTCATTTGTTTCCTCAAAAAAAAAAATATATATATGTATATCTTGCCTTGAGATGTAAATTCCACATTTTGGCTGTACTGGATTCCAAGTTTTCTGAGAAAAGGCTTAAATTTATTAGGTTAGTTCACAGTGTTCTCACAGAGAACTTTACTTTGAGGCATGGAGCCATATGTGGTTAGGATTGTTTTAAAGTAAATAATGTAAGAGAATCAGCATTACATTGTTTACAGAAACTTGGGTTATGCCTGTTGCTTAAATAATTATCACACGTGATTTACAAGTATGGTCTGTGGTGGGATGGAAGGTCAAATTGATGTTTCCATGGTTTTGTACGCTTGATGGTGTTTCTGAATCAGTGCGGACTCAGAGGGGTGTTGTGGGGACCAAAGAGCCTCTGGAAAGCCTGCTTTACTTCAGAATTGTTCCCCATCACCCTTCTAAGACCTGCCTTCTTAACTGCTTTAAAGAGTAGAAAGTGACCAACAGGTTGGATCACAAACAGACCTTTGCATGAGATTGAATATTAGCAGTGAGGGAGGCTTGGTTTGGTTATGTCACTGATGATAGTCACATTTTCTATATTTACCTCTAAAAAGGGGGAAACAAACCAGAAAAGGTCTTTTTTAAAATAAAAATCATGCTTTCTCAGTGCCTAACTTGAACATGTTCATGATTTTATATATAGATATGTGTGTATATGTGAAATCTGTCTATAGATACACATATATGTAGTACACCCGTTTATAAACACATATACAGACACTGATGTAAATGTAAACTGCTGGCAGTAGAAGGCAGTATATCACAGTTCACTGCAGAACATTGATTTCCAGATGTTTGGATTTCATGAAATAGGAATATAAAAAGTAAAAAAGAAATCGGGGGGTCCAGGATGAATTGCCAACTTCATGTTTTCCAAGATCATTAAAAACGTCGTTTTTTGTGATGGATGTTAACTAGATTTATTGTCATTGTTTTGAATACTGTTGACCCTCGAACAACCCATGTTTGAACTGCACGGGTCCACTTATAAACATTTTCTTTTCTCTAGCTTACTTTATTATAAGAACTCAGTATATAATACATGAAACATACAAAATATTGCTAGTTGACTGTTTATGTTTTAGGTAAGGCTTACAGTCAACAATAGGCTGTTAGTTATGTTATGGGAGAATCAAAAGTTATGTGCAGATTTTCGACTGCATGGGGTGGGTGGGATGGGGAAAAAGTGTCAGCATCCCTAACCCCTGCATTATTCAAGGGTCAACTGTATATATAAATAGGTACCTAATCATTATGTTGTACACCTGAAACTAATATATCTCAAAAATTTTTTTTTAATTGTGGTAAAATGCACATAACATAAAATCTACCATCCTAATAACCATTTTATTTTTTTTAAAGATTTTGGGGAATCGGGGGAGGGGAACAGTGTTGGGGAATTGGGGAAGGGGAACAGACAAGTTGCTGTCCTTTTGTTCTCCGGTCTAGTTGTGGAGGACGTCACTTCACTGGCCCATGTTGGTATTATTATTGCTCTCTTCCCGGATGAGGCAGATCGGTCGCCGGTCACTGGATGGTTGCTCATGGTGGCTCTTGGCAGCTCACGCCAGCTGCCAGCCACTCACGGTAGCTTTACGGCAGCCCATTGCAGCCTCACTGCAGCCTACACCATTGCCGGGGACTCACGGCAGCCCAGCTCCAGGTCGAACTGTTGTTCACCATCTTAGCTGTAGAGGGCACAACATCACTGGCCCTCATGTGGGATCAGAACTGGGGCCCTGCTGCTCAGAGCTGGCGTCCCAAGCCAGTTCTTAACCAATGCACCACTCGGACGGCCCTAATAACCATTTTAAATGTCTTAGATTATGTAATCTAAGATCATTTTGCAAAAAGAAGCAAGACAAAAGGACCCCATTTACTATCATCATTTCATGAATGAAAGAGCATTTCAATGCCAAAAGGGAAACATGGAAGGAAGGCTGTCATCTTAGATGCAAGAAATTCCTCCCTAATCTGTAGTAGAATAGTACAGAGAAAAATAATCTTCCATGGAAAAATAATAGTATAGAGAAAAATCTAGCAAAGAGTTCTGTATAGCTATTACTCAGATTTTAAAAATGCTAATCTTTTATCGTCTTTCCTCCAGGTTATTCCTATTCAAAGTGTCTGTACACAAACTGTTTGTTACCAGGCCATGGCAAGACAAAGAGCTTGCACTGGAATGAAATCAGCTAAGCCACTACACACACAGTTTAGTGGCTGATACTTTTCACAGAAAGACTTTGTTGACAAAGGAAGCTGTTGTTTTATATCCTGCATGAGCATCTTATTGTCAGTGGTCCAAATGCCAGTAGCAAGCAGTTCACATAGTAGCACTGGTCAGCAGCCCCATTCTAGATCTGGTGGTGTTTTTATAGAAGTAAAAGTTGATGGTTACAGTTGAAGCCCATGTATATTCATTCCACTATGATCCCATTCCTTTTTCTTTCCCTCTAAAGGTAACTAGTGGACTGCAGTTAGCTTGTATTATCCTACTGCATGTTATTGGGTCATCGGAAAAGTCATGCTGCATTTTTGCAACAAAAAACAATAGAAAAAATGCGTCATGACTTTTCCGACAACCCAATATATCTGCATGAGCCCATTAGTATATTTAGTGTTGTTTTGTATAAATGGGATTCTGCTGTAGCCTTCTGAAACTTAACTTGGTTTGCATAATATGATTTTAAAGACTTATCCATTTTGATCCATATAGATCTGCTTTACAATATTGCTTTATGTGACTATACCACATTGTATTTAACTGTCCTCCCGTCAGTGGACATTTGGGTTGTTTGTAGTTGTTTGCTGATACAAACAACACTACAGTGCACATTCTTGTCAGCTTTTCATGTGCGTGCAAGACTGAATTTAACCAGGGGAGTTATCTGGGAGGAGAGTTGGTGGGTCAAAGGTGAAGCGATGTCTTCATTCATAAAGTTAGCATGTTAACCAACCTAGTTGTTTACTGCAGCTTTTCGGGTAAATGGGGAGTGGGAAAGATAAGTCAATCATCAATAAATTTGGTTTTCTGGACCAAATTGAGAGCTGCTGATTGTTGATCTAGCTAAAGGTTTTGCTCAAAGTCTGTCTGTAATAGATGATCTGGCAGGTTGTTTATAATGACTTCTTCAGATATGGGACAGAGACCAGCAGGAAGAAGCCCACTCCTTCAATTCATTAAGTTCCCCCTTTCCATGTGCGCTAAAGAATGTTTGCAGTCTTGATCTGGGAGGCGGATGAAACTAGGTGTTGCTGTCTCTTGGGCTTTGTTACAGATGGCTGTTTTGGTCCATGAAAATCCCATGTGTCACAGCTTCTCTGCATGTTTCTTAGTTGGCCTTTTTGGACTGGCCATGCTGTTGCTCAAAGTGTCAAATCATCTCAGTTTCTTTCAACCATCTAGTCTGTGGTTTCTTTGAACAAGTTGGGGAGATATTCAGGGGAAAATGGACCCAGGTTCCTTTGGAGTTGGACATCAGAGACATGTTCCCAGCTGGTCTGAGGACTCTGAGAGGCCAGCATCCCTGTGTAGCCACCACATTGCCTGCTAGGTGCACTTAGGGTTTTGGCTATGGACAAGTCAAGCTCAGTCTCAAAGAACAAACTGGGAACTGAGACAATGTCTAAATATGCTTGTACTTTATTCACAGCCTCTCTGTTATCTTTAGCAAATAGTGGAGTGTTTTGATCACTCTTTAAAAAACAATAAGTGGGATGACTACTTGATATGGAAGAACTATAGAGACATCAAAGAAAACAGACCAAAAGCCTTTTCATTTATAGGGCTCATCTCAGCCTGTCAAATAAGACTGTTAGTTGACCATTTCCAAATACTGCATGACAAGTTGAGTTATGGGGAGGAAAGTCTGAGAGAGATTACACATATGACTAATCTGTGTTAATGATTCAGGTGCCTTACTGATAAACATTGTCTGTATAAATTGGATCACCTGACCCACTGTGGTCACCAGGTTATCAGACAAAAGCTTTTTCAATGGTTGCTGCTTGTGAAGTAATTGGTGTTTTAGACATACAGGCACATGTTTACATTTGCAAAATAATTTCTTTTACTTTTTGTAATCAGCTTTCAAAGCTTGAAAAACAGCAGCAGAGGAAAGAAAAGACCAGAGCCAAGGGGCCTTCTGAATCAAGCAAAGAAAGAAACGCTCCTCGAAAAGAAGACCGCAGTGCCAGCAGCGGGGCTGAGGGCGACGTGTCTTCTGAACGGGAACCGTAGACTTCAGGGACGGGATTCAGGTAGGACAGTCCCCTCCCTGCATGGCTCCATCTTCCCACATTTTGGGCAAACAGCAATGAATAGAGAACAGAATGGCTTTTGAGGCCAAATTCATTTTGTGGGCATTCATCCATAGCTTCTTTAAATTGCTGACTTCTAGGTTGGAGACAAAAGTTGAAATGTGGGAAGGTCAGGTACCCATGGCCTGGGATGTTCACCTAGGTGGTTCTGTGTGTGTCACCTTCCTCAGTTGCCTATGTTAGTTGACGACTGCTGCTACTATTAACATTTCTAGAGTGTTCACAGATCCAGCGTCCAGACCAGGAGCGTCCCATAAGCTCTTACCTTTTGTCCATCCTCTCCGTTCTTGCTCTCCAGTGGAGCAGCTCCAGTAGAGCCCATCGTTGTCTCCAACAGCCTCCTGTCATAATTTCCTGCCTTATTTTCCATCATCCTTCACTTCACCCCAGTTAACGTCCTGGAACAGGGTTTTATTCTCATCGCTTCCACACCCAGGAATGCATCTCACTTCACTGTAGCATTAACTCCACCCCCCTGCTTGAAGATCAGAGGCCTCTAATACTTGATCCAACCATCTTATGGCCCTTTGCTCAAGTTCATTTCTCCAGTGAACACATTATCAAGAGCCTATTGCTTTCCAGAGTTCACAAGTACAGCATAATTATTTCTATGCTGTAGCATGGTACATTGTGGTGGTGATGGAACGTGGGGTGGGGTTCAGAGGGGAGTCAGGGAGGCTCCATGGAGGACAGGACTCTGAAACTGGACCTGGAAGAACATGTAGAAATGGGGAGATGAGTGACGAAGGTAGGGAGCTGCCTAAGCCAAGGGAAGAGCAGATGCAAACTTGGGGACAGGGACAAGGACAGATGAGTTTGGGAACTGAGGTAGTGAAAAATGGCTGAAGTATTGGGTACAAGTAGCAGGGGTTTGTGTAGGGAGCTTGTCTGAATTTAGAGAAGTAGGAGGGTTCTGGGCCATAAGGGCCTGGTGTGCAGCTCTAAGAAATTTGGATTTCATCCTGGAGTGATGGGGAGCCTCTGAAATGTTTTAAGTGGACAAGTGACATAACCAGATAAAAAGTTTAAAAAGATCACTCTAAGCAGCCTTGAGGAATGAGGCTGGAAGCAGATAGGCCAGTTTGGAGGCAGTTGTGGAAATCAAGAGAGGATCAAGGTCTGGGCGTACATTTTGGAACCTTCGACTTATAGACTATAGTTCAAACCAAGTCAGCATGTAGGTTTGTCCTTGAGATACCCAGTTGCAGGAGAGGAGAACATTCATAAGGTGGTTTCCTGCCTTCTCTTTCCCTTATGAAAGGGGGTGGGAAGTTAGAAGTCTACTATGAAATGCCTTTTAGGAAACATACTACTAGATATTGAGATATATTACAGTGCCCTTAGTGATAACTGGGTGCAACGGAATCAGCTTGCAAACATAAACAAAGGACAGAATAGAGAGCTCAGAAAGGATGGGTTGTTGATTCACTGATAGTCCTCGCGGGCTGGGTGAGGGGGAGCTCTCCTCATGTTGCTGTGGAGCTGCTTCTCAAGCTTCCTCTGCCTCCTGGGCAGCATGTTGGAGAGAACATCCCAGCATCTGCTCCTGTTCCCTGAACGAAGGATGAAGGACAGGCTAACGTGATGGCCAGAGAGCAGCATTCATTAGATCAAATTTTCATAGTGGGTAATTCCTTGATTCAGAAGAAAAATCCCTGGACCCTTCCTATTACTCCTCTGGGCTGAGGGCAGCTGCCCAGCCTTCATGCGTTTACTCTCTCTTGGCCCCACTCAGGCATGGCACCATGTCTTTTCCCTTTAGTTGTAATATTATAAATAATAGCCCCTTTCCTAGTGAGCTGAGACATTATAACAAGTGGAAAAAAATTAAATTTTCAGACTCCCATGATGAACTCACTGAATAGGAAAAGAATGAAAATATAAACATTCATCTCACAGTAACCAAACCTAATTTAGCAATCTAAACACACACACACACACACACACACACACACACACACACAAATGCAAATGCGCTTTTGAGCTTTGTAGTTTCAAAATGGCTTTAAAAATTCTAATGCCATCTAGTTGATTCCTTTATTTTTTAAATATTTGATTTTGTATAGTTTATATTTTTATGTTTTTATTTTTAAATTATAGTTGACATACAATATTATATTAGTTTCAGGTGTACAATGTAGTTATTAGACATTTATATAACTTACGAAGTGATCACCACAAAAAGTCTAGTAATCATCTGTTATACTTTTTATGATACTATTGACTATATTTCCTATGCTGTACGTTATTACATCCCTGTGACTTATTTATTTTATAACTGGAAGTTTCTACCTCTTATTCCCCTTCACCTTTTTTGCCCATTCCCCCATCTTCTCCCCTTTGGCAACCATCAGTTTCTTCCCTGTATCTGTGAGTCTGTTTCTGTTTTGTTTTTTTGTTCATTTGTTTTGTTCCTTAGATTCCACATATAAGTGAAATCATACAGTATTTGCCTTTGTCTGACTTACTTCACTTAGCATAATACCCTGTAGGTCCATCCGTGTTGTTGCAAATGGCAAGATTTCATTCTTTTGTATGGCTGAGTAATATTCCCCTGTATAAATGTATCACAGTTTCTTAATCCATTCATCCATTGATGGGCACCTAGGTTGCTTCCATATCTTGGCGGTTGTAAATAATGCTGCAGTGAACATAGGGGTGCTTATATCTTTTTTGCAGTTTTCTTTGGATAAATACCTAGAAGTGGAATTACTGGGTCATATGGTAAATTTATTTTTAAATTTTTTGAGGAACCTCCATTCTGTTTTCTATAGTGGCTGTACCAGTTTACAATCTCACCAAAGTACACAAGGGCTCTCTTTCTTCCACATCCTCGCCAATACTTGTTATTAATTGACATTTTTATAATAGCCATTCCTAACAGGTATGAGGCGTTAGCTCATTGTGGTTTATATTTGTATTACCCTGATGATTAATGATGTTGAGCATCTTTTCATATGTCTGTTAGCCATCTGTGTGTTATCTTTGGAGAAATGTCTATTCAGGTTCTCTGCCCATTTTTAAAATCAGATTGTTTGTTTATTTATTTTTATTATTTTAAAAAGGTTTTATTGGGGGAGGGGAACAGCGTTGGGGAATCAGGGAAGGGGAACAGACAAGTTGCTGTCGTTTTGTTCTTCAGTCTCGTTGTGGAGGACGTCACTTCACTGGCCCATGTAGGTATTATCATTGCGCTCTTCCTGGCTGAGGCAGTCGCTTGCCGGCCATTGGGTGGCAGCTCACGGCAGCTCTTGCCAGCAGCCAGCTGTCAGCTGCTCACACTGGTGGCCAGCCACTCACCGTAGCTCATGGCTGCCCACTGCAGCAGGGGCTGCAGCCTACGCCATCGCCGGCCACTCACGGCAGCCCAACTCCAGGTCGAGCTGTTGTTTACCATCTTAGCTGTAGAGGGTGCAGCGTCACTGGCCCATGTGGGAACCGAACCGGCGGCCCTGCTGCTCAGAGCTTGCATTCCCAAGCCAACTCTTAACCAACTGAGCCACTCGGCCGACCTCAGATTGTTTATTTTTTGATGTTGAGTTATTGAGTTCCTTATATCTTGGATATTAATGCCTTATTGGATATGTCATTTGCAAATATCTTCTTCCATTCAGTGGGTTGCCTTTTTGTTTTGTTGATGGTTTCCTTTGCTGTGCAAAAGTTTTTTTAGTTTGATTAGCCCCATCTGTTTATTTTGGCCTTTGTTGCCTTTGCCTGAGGAGACATGAAAAAAAAATATTGCTAAGACTGATGTCAAAGAGTTTACTGCCTACGTTTTCTTTTAGGAGTTTGATATTTTCAGGTCTTACATTTAAGTCTTTAATCAATTTTTAGTTTATTTTTGTATTTGGTATAAGAAAGTGGTTTAGTTTCATTTTTTGTGTATATCTGTCTAGTTTTAGTTGATTCCTTTTTTTACTGTATTTACCAATTTGCTAACATGTTTAGTAAATTTAATATCTTGATTTTTGCTTTAACTATGTCTGATCAATATTTTGAAAATCTGTTTTATTTATTGAGGGGTATTGAATTATACTTTTAAAATCAGTGCAAAATATAACAACTTTGCATTCCTGTTAGAATTTGGCCTCAGAATAATTCCATTAGAGGGTGTATTATGGACATTAGTGGCCACTGGGCAGCCTGGAAGTGACTGTGCCATTTCTGTGGGCAAGAAAAACACCTGAGGGCCTCATACATAGAGGAAGTGACAGTAACTGTGTGTCACAGATCTTCCCTGAGGACACGTTTGTAAAAAGAAAAGCAAACACAAAGAAAGGACAAGCAGTGAAAGTGGACATTTCTTTCTAATATCTCCCAACTTTAAGAGGCAAAGTTTCTTAGACTTGTAGTTATCTATTTTTTGCTTCTCTAAAATAGATGAAAAATTTTTAAATCTGCAGTTGTATTTATTCTCAAGATAGTGCAGATTGGGTAGCATAAAACTTGGGCTAAATTGTACTATTGTCTTGTCAAACACCCAAAAAGAACTAGACCGAGAGGAAACACCACTAGTGGTAGGGACACAAACTCAAGAGGCACAGTGTTTTGAAAAGAGTCGACAGATGTGTTTTCCTTCCTTTTCCCTGTAAATCAAGGTCACTGCAGCCATCTCACCATTATGGCCCCAGGGAAGAGGTGGGGAGAGAATGAATAAAGAGGAATGAATGTGAAGAGAAGCCCCTGCCTGACAGGAGGGAAGGCAGAAGAGAGCCCCCAGGTAGACGAGTGCCCGGGAGAGAAGAGGGTCAGATGGAAGGGGTGCCAGAGGCCACGCTTGGCGTTCTCTCCCTGTTCCAGGCCAGAATCCTTCGGGTGGGAGTTAGGTTATTGGGAAAGCTAGAAGCCATGAGGCCCTCCTGTGCTCTGGTCCCTGGTGGGAATTGGGGAAGGAGACTGCTGTGCAGGTCATCACAAGGCTGCTGCAGCTGAGTAGAAGG